TCCGCGGGGTTGTTAGGCCCGTAATCCTTGCAGATTCCCCTGCGGGAACGTGCAGGTATAACTGAATATTGTAATTAAAGACCGCGAATATGACTTTCGGTAGCGTATAAACGCAACAACTCAGCCACAGTAATTTGCGATTTTGACAAAGTTCCGAGACGAGTCCAGATATTTTCTATACATTTTCTGAAAGCTTATAAAAAACTCTATACGTGGTGTGAAAAGCTAACGGGTGAAACGTGCAGGAGTAACTGAATATTGCAAATCAAGACCGCGAAAATTACTTTTGGTAGCGTATAAACGCAACAACTCGGCCACAGTAATTTGCGATTTTGACAAAGTTCCGAGACGAGTCTAGATATTTTCTATACATTTTCTGAAAGCTTATAAAAATCTCTATAAGTGGTGTGAAAAGCTAACGGGTGAAACGTGCAGGAGTAACTGAATATTGCAAATCAAGACCGCGAAAATTACTTTTGGTAGCGTATAAACGCAACAACTCGGCCACAGTAATTGGCGAATTGGTGAATGTTCCGAGACGAGTCCAGATATTTTCTATACATTTTCTGAAAGCTTATAAAAAACTCTATAATATAATATCAAATGCTAAGTTGTTAAATGCAGTGGTCGTTCACAATTATTCGAGTTGTTACGGCGGTGTATACGATAGTAATTGTATATATACTCCCACCGGCCGACAGATCTTTGTTGTGTGTATGATTGGTAAATGCGTGTAATATATGCTTTTTGTTATTATGTGTCTACATCTATCGGTTAGAAAAAGCGTTATACTCTATATAATATTGGTAACCGAAGGGTAACCAATATTTGTTTGTGATAAGAAGTTGGTGGACCACGAATTGGTAGCATCACACTCGTTTTATAAAGACTAGTTTAATCCCAGGACTTATAATTATGTCTCTGGTTAAATTACAATATTAACTTTTAAAATAAAGGTGCATAAAATTCACAGGATAGATAATTAATAATTATACAATAATAACTTACATTCAGTGTATAATATCAAGTTGTTTTAATAAGTCATTAGCATAATTATCTTTCACTAAATTTCTATGTAAGCTCAATAAGTTATTTGAAAACAAAATCCACTTTTTAATAAAGTTTAGCCAATTATGTTAATAGTTTTTTGTTTCTGGATATTTCATAAAAAAATCTTCAAAAAACCTAAAACAAAAATTTAAATAATAAGTAGACACAACACATTGCTTTTTTTTATAGTTTTAACCAGTATCATATTTGAAAATAAAAAGTAAAAAAAGTTGCTGACGAGTTGATAGAAATAAAACCTAAATTTTAATTTAAATATTAAAACATGCATTGATTACTATATTATAAAAAAAATACTCATAGATAATAAATTAATTAAATAATCCCCGCCGGGGAGCCAGTTGACACGACTTGCGTCGCAAAAATGTGGTCGACACTGGTTTTGAGGGTAGAGACCCGTGGGCCGTTTATTAAATGAGCGACAACAGATTATGTTAACAAAAATAAAACAAACCGAAAAGATAAACACAGTAATAATAATCTTCGCATAATATCGCGGCACTTTCGCTGGCGTCGACGACGCGATGTTCGGCGTAATCCTTGGACGGCAAAATGGTTAGCAGCGTTGTAGGCGACGGTGCGCGGGTGCGGTTCGGCTGTCGACGTTGTCGCTTTCACAGCGGGAGGAAGACTCTCGCACCATTTGCGGCGGGTCGTCGTCGGCCGTGCGGCATTTGCTGGACTTTGCACCGTAGCGTATAACACGCGGTGTTGGTCAGTCAAATACTCATAGTAGGGCGACGGCTGATAAAGGTGGCACGAGTCGCGGGGCATCGTGTATAACGAAGCGANAAAATAGGAAATTGTCTATTTTAACTCATCTATAAATTATTTATTTATGTATATGATATTTGTAAATTATTGTAATATATGTTTTAAATAAATTTAATATTATGTGGATATTGAATAATTTTTTTTTCCTAAATAAGTCTTTATTAAATATACATAAAATAAAAAATATATTAAACAAACTAATTACACATAATGAAAACATTAATTGAAAGTTTTAAAATGGTGTTATATGTTTAGAAATAATAATAAAATAAATCCAAAAAATTTACTATGCAAATTTTCTAAAATAATTAGCATGTAAATAATACATTTAGAGTTCAAATCAACCGCCGATGTACAATTATTGTACAGTACAATGAATTATATGCATACAATTATTTATTTTATTGTTTTTATGGTAACACTGAGCGACATGAGCTCAAAATTACCGTACTCCCATAAGAATACATGTAATTTTTTTATCAGTGTCCATTCTGGTTTAATCTATTCTGTGGCGTAACTACGTGGGGTTGTAATAGCTTCCTGAATTTTAATACCTATAGTTTCAAGTTGAATTGAAAACTTTCAACGAATTATTTTTATTTTCTTTTTATACAGTCCGAAGATTAGTTAAATAATTAACAATTTTCTCCATTTATTTCTGTCGTTTATTATTCTTTTAATTCCGGTGTCTCCTATCGCTTATTTCATGAAAGATGTCCTTCCTCTTCTTGGTTTACCTTTTATTTTTCATTCTATAACTGTGATTATTCAAGGACCTCCTTATTAAGTGTCAAATCCACATTTTTATTATCATTCTTAGATGGTTCCACATTGATCTCTGGATAACCTCATCATTCCTTTCTTTATCTATCCAGATTAACTTCAGTTTTTCTATTTTTATTTTTCCAACATTCTCTTCGCTCATTTTTTCAATGCGTCTTCTACATACAAATTAAAAAAGTTAATTTATAAATTTTACCTCTGTCTTACATCCCTAGTGATTGTGGCTGATCATTATCTTTCTCTATCTTTATAACTGCAATTTTATTGATGTAAAGATTACTTATGATCCTTCTATGCCAATGTTCTCTATAATTTCAAAAAGCTCTGACCAGTTTACATTATCAAATGCATTCTCTTAATTTACAAAAGCAATAAACAACCGTCTGTTAATTCTAAACATTTTTCAATTATCATTCTTAAGCATATCATCGCCTCTATTTGTTCTAAAACCAAATTGATCTTCTGCCAAGTCTACTTATTTTCGACTCTAATCTTGTATGATTTACCTTTGTGAGTATTTTTGAGGCATGTGTAATAAGGCTTATTATTCTACAATCTTTATATTTCTCTGGCTTCTTTTTTTTTTTGGTATAGGTATTAAAATAGTTTTACATAATGGACATTTTTTAATTTTCCAAAGATCTCATATTTCATACTGCAATTCTCCTCCTCTTTTTTGATGGAATAGTAGTGATAGTTCTCACTCGTAGATTCAATTGGGGAACTAATTTATCTTTGAAATTATTTTTTAATTCTATTTTAATCATTAAACAATATCCTCAGGAAATATAATGCAATAAATTACTCTAGATTTACGCATCACAGTTAATGAGTTAAACATCTTGAAAGATGTCAAGCCGTTTACATTAAATCCTAACATTGGATTTGATACAGAAATCACCAATGTTCGGTAGTAACAGTTATTGCTTCCCTTCTTTTAATCGCCACTCATAATAAGTATGATCATCGCAAACCCCGCAGCAGGTCCATTCTATACCCCAGCCTACAAGGGTTATTTTGATTTATAAAAATGTATTAGTTTTTATTTATAAACATTTTTTTTTCTTATCTTACATTATACTACTATCATAGTAACTAAAAACGTTATTTAAGTATATTGGTATATTTTTATATTAAGTCACCAAACAATTATAATCATTAGCTCGCTTTTACAGACACCTATATTAGTATAGTTAATTGAGAGTGGGTGGACTTAAGTTAATATATTTGCAAGTTCTAATTATAATTTTAAGTGTTGATATTTTCTAATTAATATTATTCTTGAGTAACATTATTAAGATAGTTACTTTTTAAAAAATCAACATAGTGAAATATTTATAATACCATTCTTTAACTTTGTGAGTAATTTCATCTATTTTCATTATAGATTTAAAACTATAAAATACTGATTGAAATTATTGTTAAATATATAATAAGGGTAGCACTGATATTAAATTATAACACAATAAATAGTTTACTTCTTAAAAAATTAAAACATAATATAATATAAAAAATAAAATAAAATTTAATAATTTAATATAAATATGTATGTACAATATATTACAATTTAAACTATACACAATTATTGAATACTAATATTATTAATCTCACAACCTTTAAGACTATTTAGTTCATACTTAATTATTTTTAAAATCAAAATAGTGTAAAATACATATTCATTTTCAACATTCACTAGTTTCTATTGTTTTAATTGGTTATATTTTTATATTA